TCATAAACTTCCCAGAGGCCAGGAGATAAACGCAGTGAGATCATTTCTCCTTATTTCTGACTTGTTGTGGGAGGCTGATTTTCAGTGTTCGTAGGGAACCAGATTTCCCCAGAGTCGGAAATTCAGCTATTGGTACCTGATAACCATTATGTGCAGGATCATCTGTACTAGCCTCTTCTATGCGTAGCATCACCCAACCTATCCATCTGCTGCACCATCTATTACGGTTTATCAGCAAATCAGATATTTGATCCTTGTACTTTTATGCACAGCTCCAATTGGTCTCATTCTTAAATGGCACCTGAAAACACTGCTTCTCCTCAACACCCATTATCGATATGCACCCTTGATCAGCTGTTGCAAGCAGCTGGTCCCATTAATCTGGTCATATAACAGACTGGACAGCTGCAGACCTGCTAGAAATTGAAAGAACCTCTGTCTACTCCTGACTCCGTGACCCAGGCTCAAGGTGGCAGAGGCAAGTTTATGATAAACTAAAGGATGTTAAATAATCTGCCTTCCAAACTCAAACAAGAACAATCTGTGCTTTGATAGAAGGGATTTAATTGTCAAATAGGGTAAAAAATTGAATGTTTTTTTGTAATTTTGAAACTGTAAAGTGGTCTTTATTGCACGTTCATTCATCTGAGATAAAAATTGTGCGATGTAGATATTTCTGCCCATCATTTCAGTATTAACACATTGGTATATCCATTACACAGATTTTTTTTCAGCATGTTTTCACCAAAGACAGGCATATATTTCCTTGTATTTGAGACAATCAACTAAATGATTCATTTAGGAAAAATATTTGGTGAAACTCTTCAGCATAAAGCTTTGCAATGTATACAAGTGAACACTCCTTTCAAGTAATCTGTTTAAAGACAACCTAGAATAGGTAGAATAGAACATAAACAGAAATGCTCACTTGAAGAAAGATGAAGCTAATGAAATTAAAGACTCATGAAAGGAGAGTAATTATGATGGTTTACAAATGGGTTGATGTAGGTTAAAAGCACATTTTATTTGTAAATGTAAGATAATCTCATTAGTGCTGGGAGCACAGAAAGATCTATCACCTGCTTCCTAACAACATTCAGGATAACACAGTTCTTTTCAGACTGAATCAAGAAATACCCATCAGCAAAAATGTGGCAGGAACAAATAACAGACATATGCTCTTTAGTGTGTTAATTGTCTGCACTGTTGTCATTTGCCATTAGGTCTCTCAGTGAGTGTCCCTTTCAATGCACTTTTAGCATGTGTTATGCTAAGCATATTAATACTTAGTCTGGAAATATTGCTGTAAATCTGAATTAAGATCAAAGTGTTGTTCCTGACCTTTAAAACTCAGAAAACCTTGAGGAAGTTGGTCAGTCATATTTTCTAGAATAAGAGACTTTTTGGTATGACCTATTATCTGTGCCATAGCCTAATTATTCTGTAGTCTTTGCTTCATGTATTCAGTATTTTGTCTCTGAACATTTGAAGCTGAAAATGTTGGCTTTGATGTTCTTCTCACCCTGTAAGACTGAATAATCTCTTTTTTTTTTTTTTTTTTTTTTTGTTGGTAACTGCCAACAATGTATATGACAGTGCTCTTAACAACCAGGAAACCTCTTAGCATTAGGAGGTACAGTGCAAATACAAACTGAGCACAGCTTGAGCTACAAAGAGAAACTCTGTAAGGAACTTTTGAGGATGTTGTGATAAAACCTGAAATTTAAGTTCCAGTGCACCAATAAGAAAACAATTTGGTTTCCTGTAGGATATGGTTGCCATATTGCCAATATACATCTAACTTTACATGACCCAAGCAACCTGATTGATTTCTGAGATTTTTTTAAGGTTAAGTGTGCTTAGGTACGTCACTATTTATCTTAAATAAAAAACTTCAGATGTTAATTTATATGAATTATGTTATGTTAATTTCATATCACGAAATAGTCATTTTTTTCTGGGCTTCCACATTTTTTAATCTCCTGCTATTCTTTAAGATTTCTAAATCCTTATGTGAAAAAAAGAATAGTAGCAACATGTTAAAAATGAAAGATTGGACCCAGGTTTTCCTTTATGTGTGCAAAGCAGTAAGGTTTTACTTGGCTAGAGGACGAGTACGAGATCCTCCCTTTGTGAATATCATCCAGACTCATACAGATCTGGGACTATCATTCGGCTCAATAACATAGAAAGATCATAGAAAGATTGGCAAGGCTGGACCCTAAGTGGTGCTGATGATGAAAGTTTGTTTAAGGGAGCTTTTAATTATGTGATTTACTTTTTTTCTGCCTCCTCAGAGCAGAGGGGTTTTTTTAACCCACTGTTTTTCTGTAACTTACTGTGTTATACATAACCGAGGCAGCAGAGGGAGCTCAAAGATTTTGGTCATCGGTGAGAGAACTAGAGAACCAAGAGAGACAGGGAGAAAAAGAGAGACTGACAGTGCCAGGAACAATTACGACAGTGAAGGACATGGGTTGATGTACTCGGACTTCTTTAAAGATAATAGATTATATGCATATGCCATTATTCATCTGGTAGTTTTAAATACCAGCGAGACTTCAAGATACCACATAGTGGCCAGGTTTTATTTTGCACTTGTTGCGTACTTAAGCTCTTCTGTTTACAGTTTTGAAAAAAGTATTTATCAAGAATATAAAAGTCCTTTTTGGGTCTAATAAATTGTTCTAATAAGTCTTTCTATGTGTAGAGATTCAGAATAAATATTAAGACATAAGTACCTGAATTTTAAGAACTACAGTAAATAAAATTGGTAAAATAGGGACAATTGGTAAAATACTGAACTGCAGTGAATTGACTTTTGTTCAACAATGCAGAAATTCAGTTTGTAAAATAATGCAAGATTTTTTAATTGTAATTTTAAGATAGAAAGATTTTCATTGTTGAAAAAGAAGATGTTCATCTTCAGTGTTGGGGAGAAGTAAAGCTAATAAAATACACAAATGAAAGTCCTATCTGCACAAAAGCATTTGTTCTTCTGCAAAGGAAGATTTGAGTCTCTGAGAGGTCAACAGCTGCTGACCATAAGCAAAAGTCTGTTTTGAACTGTATCAGTGAATACATTATAAACAGAATACCAGCATCATGAAGGCAGCATTTGTCCTAAGGTCAAGGTTGTGCTTAATTGTCCAGTTTTTGAATGCATATAATTGATAGAATGAAAAACCCTGTGGTTCTGACCAGGTTTGGTATTTTCTATAACATACTACCTGGAACTGTTTGTTACAGATCAGGTTGTAGTCTATCTTGACTGTTTTAATTGGTTTTCAAGGCAATAAGAACAGAATGCAATTTCATTGTAAGTATCATACTAACTCACTAAGTTGTACTGAAAGGAAATGTTTATAATTGTCATTTTTTTGAGAGAAAATATACTTGAGATGTGAACTCAGGTATTCTCTTCCCAAATTCAGGACAACTTTTTTGAGTGGTAGCAACTTCAGTTTTCTAAATATAATTTTTATAGTGATCTAATTGCTGGATCTTTGCGCTTTACTGACTCTATGGTCTGTCTCCTGCTTTGCACCAGATTCACCCATACAGCCATTAAAAAGTAGCTGTGGAGCACTGTTCTAGTCATGTGGGCATTGCTTAATCCTCTGATCAAACCTGAATAAATCTCTTTGGATGCCATGTCAATCTGTTTGGGATTTGCAATCTGGCAAGACACCTAAATACAAATTAAAGTAATTTTGTACCTGAAAAAAATCATCTCCCTCTCTCAGTAACATCTACCACTGTGTTCCAAGGCAGGTAAAGATCAGGCAGCTGTGAATATCACTTTGGAGATAGCGGGCATAAATATTTGACTTTATGAATTTGTGCTATTGATCTCCTAACTACAGGTCCTCGGCTACATTCAAAGGTCTCATTTTTACTCTTACTGGTACTTCAGAAGGATGCCTTTTGCTTAGTGTTATTCCTTTATCTTCTTTTTTTTTTTTTTTTTTTTTTTTTTTTTTTTTTTTTTTTTTTTTTTTTTTTGCGTGTTGTACCAATTATTTTTAGCCTGTGTTCTGTCATTCCAAGTACAAATCCTGACCCCTGAAATTGTTGGGATTTCAGAGTATTTACTATATTTCATCTTACAAACTCCCACAATTCTTCCTTCATCTCTCTATATTTTAACCCTCCCAGTCCCCAAATTATTATGTAACTGTTTTCAAAGGTGCTTATTTGCCTTTCTTCAAAATATGTGAGGCACTTGTATGGAGAAAGAATGCTTATGTCTTCTCTCTCACCTAATTCTAATGAGTAAATCTGTGCTCCAAGTTATCAGCATATATGCTTCTCCTGTTAAATAAGATTAACCAAGTTATTTTTGTCAGTTCATAGTTCAACATCTACTTTTACTCTTTAGACTTTGACCTCTCTTTCCCCTTATTTCCTTAAAATCTCCAGTCTTTTTGTACTCTATCTTCTGCCTTTCTTTAATAGACAAATTATAAGTGTATGCACAAAATGTGTGCAATCCACTCTTAGAATTCATAATGAAATTTTATATACCAGATCACCATTTTAGTTATTCTATTATCCCTGTGCAATAGCTCTATGGAAGAAGGACTTTTTAAATAAAGTATAAATCCCCATATGCACTGTATATAATGAAATTATAAAATATTATTAACAAAGCAACTTAATGAATTGACATTCTTGAGGTTAGAAAGGTGGAACACTATAGAAACAAATACCTATCATCTAATTAAAAATAATGAGTTCATAAAACTGTCAAATAAAACTTATGGAGAAATAAAAAAAAAAATCCTTGGCTTTATTTTACTTGTGTGTTTGATGGTATAACAATGGATTTTCTGTTAGAAAAAAATCAATTGCTGAATTAAATGTTCTCACTTTCCATTCTCAGAAGTGGGTATCCTTCTTCATTTAGCTCCAGGTGAAGAGAAACCTTAGCTGGCTTTTGAGCTCATTGAACATATTTAACTTGAACTTCAAACATTGTTTGAGGTAAAATATCTTACCATGGTTGTCTCTGCAATGGATCCAAAGCTGTTTATAAATATGTTGCATGTGACATTAACTGGAGGGCCTGCGAAAGAAAAAAGAAACACCAGTCCCTGTTCCAGAATCATTGCTTATTGAGTGACTGTAAAATATAAACCATTATGAAACAACATTTATTGAATTAGGAGGAAATAATGCTACATTCACAACTCATTTAATGCAAAATTAAACTGAATTGTTTCTAATAATTTTCCTTTTGATTTTTCTCAAAGGTACACTACTTGACTGGCCAGTTCTAGCAATAAAAAAAAGAGAGAAAGTTCATTATAAACTTGCACAGATGATTCTATGCAAAAAAATCAACATCCCATTTGAAATATATAGTAAAAAATATTTTATGTGCATTTCAGTGAGTAATGTATGCCACTTTTCACAACAATTAGGGGAAAAAGTGACCTTTTTCACTCAAGGCAGCTTCTATCTTTAATGTTATCTGTCATCACCAGTAACAGAAATACATTATTGCTGCTCTTATCTCTACTGCTTACAGGAAAAAATGTGGATAAGGAAGAATGACTTAGATTCTATTCTCATTTCTCTTAAATCCACAAAATGGTTAAGAATCCATTTAAACTGAATTTTCTGTTACCATGGGTCTTCAGTCAACTGTCGTTCTATCTTATCTTGTATTTGTGAAGCATCAGTAGCAGCAGAGCAGTCATGATAACTGAACAACGAATTGTCTCTTCATGGAAAAGGTTTTAAATTATTTCTCTGAAAGTCTCTGTAAAAATGGCGTTGTGGAAGAGCATGCTAATTTATCCATTATTTCTTATCAATTTCAGCCTGTGTACAGCGGAAACAAGGTTCTTCCATCACAAGTTTTTTCTGTCACCCTCCCTTGATATTCTTGTATCAATAATCCAGTTCAGCATTGGAGAACCTGATTTCTTTTTGCAGGTGTAAGCAGTCACTAATAATGAAAAATCTATATCTGGAATTTGAGGACTAGTCTTACAAACCCTTATGTAATATTTCTTTTTTAGGGTCACTGAAGTAAGAAGCTGCTCTGCCACTGCTGGTGGTTTGCAACTAGCAAAATCTAATGTGACCAATGACCTTGATATTAAATACGTGAAGAATCAGAATATCCATTAAAAATTCTGCCAACAGGACACAACTTGGAACATTCACCTTCCTTTCCTCAAAGCAATAGTTGTTTTGAAGTACTGTAAGGCAATTGCAACAAAACATCACTACGTGTACTTCAGTCATTGTAATACACAAGACTACACCTATGGAGAAGAATTCTCAGTTAAGGAGGTATCACTCTGCAGTCACTTTGACACTATTTTCACTTTGATACTTGGTTAATTATTTAGAGCTTTTGAGCATGTCCAGTACTCCTTAGAATCCAGTAAAAGCTTGACATTGACAACTCCTGAAAAGGATCAAGGGAAAAAAAAAAAAAAAAGCAGGGGAGATGAACAAAGGCAGAGTCACTAAAAACTGTTAGGGAGAAAATTGTACTTCCTGGCTATGTTAGATAATTTGTTTGCAAGGCAGCTTTCCTTTCAAACACTTTCATGTTGTAGTACTTGTCATCATTTCAAATTTGGTATGATACATTCTTGTTTAAAATAATACTATGTTTGAAAGTGTAGGTTTGCTGTATCTACAAACATAGTTGCTTTTATAAAGAAAAAACCCTAAATCACTACAACACTGATGCTTAATTTCAAAAGCAACATTAAAAAATATAGTTAACAGCTAGTTAAAAAGAACATAAAAGGAGAAGCTAAAAGCAGCTTTCAGATGGTTTAGAGATTACTTAAAGATACTGTGCTGAGAGTAAAAATGAACTACCCAAAATATGGTCAAAAAGAAGCATAAATGAAGATGTTAAAACTGGAAGTCATATTCAAACACAAGAACTCGGGCAAGTTAAACATAAATTAAAGACGGGGAAAAAAATAGAGTTGAAACTCACTAGAGACAGAAAAGCTAACAATGATAACTATCTGCAAGGCATTAAAAATAGAATCCTGCTAAGATCTGGAAGGTGAAGTCAAGAGAAGATGATTAAGATATAAAAGTATCCCTGAAAGTGAAGAAGGTCAGAGCAGAAAAACTAAATGAAGTCTTTATAACAGCATTTGTCTCCAATTGCTAGCTGTGTCAAATACTGAAGCCATTCTGATGGAGGACTTGTATGAGGACTGTAGTAGACATTTCAGACTAAGTGAACAGGAACAAACTGACAAGCTGAGGTGATACCAAGACAGCCAAAATAAAAATCTTTGCAAAACTGGGGAAATATGAATCACTGTGAGTCAGCTATCACCTGTGCCATTTTTTTATCAGTGGAAATGTGTACCATGTCCAGCAAGTATAACTTGAATTAAAAAAGAAAAACAGACTCCAGGTATGATGGTGAATGATGTTGACAATGAACTTTATCCCTGTAAACCTTACCTCTGTACCAGCCAAACTGGTAGAAGTGACGAAAACCGTTATGATTAAGAGATATAAATTAACATTATTTTTGCTGAAATAACACCTCTCAGATCTACTGAAGCTCTCTGAAAGAGACGAAGAGTAGGTAGACAAGGGCAATCTAATTAAATAAATATTAATTTTAACTGTAATATATAATTAAATTAATTAAAATAGTTTATTTGAAGTTTCAAAAACTTTTCAACATGATCTTTTGTCAAAGGCTTTTGAAGGATATTAGTCTTGATGAAGTGAGTGACAGTCCTCTTATAGGCTTTTTGCTTTAAAGTTATTTAACATTAGGAATAAATAGCGTTTTTTCAAAGTGAGAGGTGATTGCTCGTGAGTTCCCCCATGGATCTACACTGAATCTTTGTAATTCAACATTAATGACCTAGAAAAGAATATATAGCAATATAATTTTGCTTCTGATATAAGATTATTTAGGGTGTTTGTATATAAAGCTGACTGCAAGGAGGTGCAGAAAAATCACAAAATAATGAGCTGTCAAGCAATAAAATGTTTGATGAAATTCAGTGTCAGTCAAATGCCAAGTAATCCTTACTATGCATTCCTATTGATGCGCTCCAAATTAATGATTTCTATGTAGGAAAGAGAGGCTAGATTAATTATGGATGGTTCTCTGGAAGTATGTTCTATAATCAATAAAGATAGGAGAATGCAAAGAAATACATAAAAAAAAAGGACTGCCATACAAGTAGATCATGAACTTCAGTCTTGAATGCTTCAAAATTTCTCCTGTGTCCACCTCAAAAGGATAGATTAGGGAGAAAAGAGATGTCAGGAAGGCAGACAAGGATCACAAATTCTATGAAATGCTGCCACACAAAACCAGCTTAAGTAGAACAGAACTCTTCACATTGGAAAAGGGATATGGTAGGGAGTGATACATAAGTATACAAATCTGTAAAGATCAAAAGGAAGTAACCATTTCCTCCATTTCTCAATAAGTCATAAAGCAATAATATCAGTAAAATAGTCACCAAATTCAAAGCAAACAAAACCTGACACTTTTCACTACTCCAAACCATGAAGATTTTATTGCCATAAAATACTGGAAAGGCCAAAAGTATAAACAGCTTCCAGAAGTGATCAGAACATATTTATCTAAATTAATTTTTCAGTTAAGTTCTGGCTTAAGAAGTTCCTAAACTAATGATTGCTGAATACTGTTTGGTAATACCAGGGCAAGGAACACTTTACACTTTCCTATGTAAATCCCAAAATTTCCACCTTAATAGGTTGTTGTCAAAGGGTACAGCCTGGACTGTATAGATTTAAAAATATAACACCTCTTCTGTATCAGGTTAATTCTGAGCATCTTGAGGCCATGACAATTTTTACATATGGATTACATACTTGTGGCCAAGTTTGAAAGAGAGTGAAGTATTTTCCATATTTGCAGGAACAGATATAGTCTGGGATGTGCAACAGCTAAGTAAGAGAAGCATCTTGCTATAGGTTTGATGCACTGGAAACAAAAGTATTTTGCAACTGGAACACAGATTTTACAAGAGTTCTTAATTTTCTGTTTTATTCCATATCTAAACAAATACCAACAGCCATCTTTATTATTTCTGTTGAACAAGAACAAATATGCAGAATTCCTTATCCAAAAGCAGAGCACTCAGGCAAAATAGATAATTATGTGTTATTGACCAAGATTAATTATGACTAAAAGATGGTAGCTAAAAATCTTGTCTACATAGGAATTTTATGGGAAGAACAAATGATTTAAAATGATTGAGTTCTTTTATTAGTACTCATTCTGTTTCTTTAAAACTGTTGCCAGATTAAAAACTCAAAAAGGCATTAAGCCCCAGCACTTGTTTTAGGACTAATAAAACTAACCAGAAAGTGGCAAAGTCACTTAAGGAGATACTTATTCTTAGTGATAGATCTGAATCATTCTGGACAGATTTGTTCAAACTGCATAGCTGTCTAGAAGATTTAGAATGTGCACTTTTTGAAAAAGAACAATGTCAAATTAGGTTTTGTCTCTTTAAATTCCAATAGTTACAAAACAAGGCTCTAAGTCTTTTGAATTATACTTTCAAGAAGTACTGTATTGAATTCACTAATCTCTAAACCATCTGCCTGTTCTACACTGTAGCCCCATCAGAAGATTATGATTGCATGGTGTCCATGACAAGCTCCAAAATCAAATCCCCAAATCAACGGCTAAGCTGTAAGCTCCTCATTTTTAAACGCTTGCAGGACTTCAGGAGACTCAAAGAAGAAAGAAGACAAACTGTAGTGCTTTGACTTTGCCTCAGGTCTTCTTTTGCCCAGAACAGCTTTACCTTAGGTTGAACCTGCAGTTTGCATGCTAAAGAGTATACTATGGCAACAAGTCAAGATAACTTTAATAAGGAGCAAAAATAATTTAAGAGCTACCATTCATATAAGAAAGTAATTTTAGAAATACAGTGTTTTGCATTACTTTGCAAATATTGTTTGATACATTAACCGTCTAGGAAGCCAGGCACTGGAACATGCCTCAGAGTAGTTCTGTCAAGGAAAGTCCAAGGGACTTATTCTGTATGTCATCAGGGATATTGAGCACTGTGGTCAATCTTTTAGCAATGTGTTTGAATTTCCAATGCATGCTTATAATTTTCTGAGAAATATCAGCACTACTAACTTATTAAAAGCAAAGACTTTCCAGCTGTAGTAAATCCTGGGTAATAAGTTTATACATACAGCAGCACCAGCTGTTTATGGCTTATTGCTGAGGAAGTAATTTGACAAACTACTTATTTGGTCCTTATGAATCAGTCTGGGAAAATTCTGGCAAAACCAGCAAATAGCAATGGCTTTAGAGTTATAACCACTTAAGCTTCTGGGACTTGGAGATGTCAAAAAATTATAAAATTTAGTGCTGAATAAGAATTAAGATGGAATGGCAGTGACAGATGACTTAGAAGAGGAAGGCCTGTCTGGTTGAAGGAAAAGTTTTGTAGTAAACATGGAGTAAAACACGCCTTATAGTGAAATGTTAGAGCTAAGAGAATCTCTTGGACCCAAGAAGATAGGCATGGAGGAGGCTAAGACAAAGTAAGGCAAAGTAAGAATAATATAATTTTTAATCACAATAGATTTATTCTTTTAAAAAAATATTCTGGAGAATTTAAGGACTGATAACTTGATTTAAAGATTCAGAAATAAAGTTAAATATAATTCCACTATATCATTGGAACTCTTTACATTCTAAAAAAAGAAGAGTCAAATTTACCTAAACTTCCCAGATGGCAAAAGTTAGAAGGGGTGCCATTTGTCTGTGTAATAGTTCGTATATTTGTATAATAATATAGTTTGTATAACCCTTCATTAAATACTCTACTGTAGCATGCCTGAGTCTGGATAATATGGTTTGTGCTAAGACCCTTGGAAGATGTAATTATTGCATTTGCAAATTTTGGGCTTCTAATATTCTGTGAATCTCCTTTGCCTTGTTTGAATCCCCTTTGTGATAACTGCATAAAAGGCACACACCAAGAGACAATTCCAGGTATTGAGGACCTGCAGTTTCAGTGGAGAACTGAGAACAGGGAAGGAACAAGAGGAAAGATGGTCCCTTTTGCCATTTCAAAGCAGAACTGGGGCACAGGAGTGAGGAATCTAATGTCACAGGAGAATTTGGTGGTAGATTCGGTAACTAAGATAAGCTCTCTTGAGTTTGACTCTGACTATCATGCCATTAACACACTCTTCCTTTTAGGTAGGATATGGCACGTATGAGGGTTTGGCTTGTCTTTCACAGAACTTGCTTTCTGGAGCTCTTCAGGCTATGGTAGTCCAAGGTCAGAATTTGAATCCATTAACAAGCATTTCAGAGAAGAAAAAAAAACACAACCCCTATTAGACTACTCAAATCTAGTCATAAGCTAAATTTTCAAAAGGTCTCCATTTGGGCAGCTGCGAATGTGACAGGAATAGAGCATATTGCTACTGAAATGAACTGTCATTCAAAGAAAGGCAAAAGAAGGCACTTTTTTTTCAGTGAGTGTACTTCTTCACTTTCATACTTGTTCCAGAAACTGCATTTGTGTGAGAAGAAATACTGAAATACTGAAAATCTGAAAGTTTAGTTTTGAAATTACCTTTGAAATTTGGTCTGATCCTTGCATCATATCCTGACATCCTACCCATTAGCTTATCCAGGAAATCAGATGGCGACATTGGCATGCTACGGGATCTTGCACTGTCTGTTTCCTTTGTGGCTACCAAGCTAACATCAAGGAAAAACAAACAAACAGAAAACAGAACAGAACATTTTATTAGAGATTCTGTTAGGGAAACTTTAATTTTACACAGTCAATCACTTCATTCATTCTTGTATGAAGAGGAAAATAGAAAAGCTAAGATTGCCTTTCAAGCTAGTTTATGCTTCAAAAATAGCTGTAGCAAAGAAATGGAAACAGTAAGTTCTTTTTATATCTGTCATTTTATAGCAAATTTTATTTTCCTAAGCTGCATCATTATAGGTTGCTGTTACCTCTTCCTCAGGACTTCTGGAGATTAATAACACTGCCAGTCAACAGTAATCAATCCATGATCACAGTTGGATAATGTCATCTACACAAATAGCTGTGCATGTGGAATGTCATAATTTGGAATCTACTCTGTTTAACTGGGTGTGGTGTAATAGAAGCCTAGATCAGAAAAAAAAAAAAAAAAGTAGTAAGGATCTTTCATAGAATAGTACAACTAACACCAATTTTTGTTCAGCCAATGTTTTATGTTGGCATTTAAACATAATACAACATATCGAACAGTCTCTCGCCAAATGGTATTCTTTAACATCGTCTTAGAGGTTCATTTTCGGTTAAAATAAAAGTGACTGCTGCAGTAGAAAAAACCCCACAACTTACTGAAGGAACTATCTTAGGGCAAAATTTTCATCTCAGGGCCACATGGCAAATGTCATCTCCCATAGCCTCCCCTCAATACATATGCAGAACTCCCACTGACATTCTAAAGTGTGCTCTGCACATGCCAAGAGAGAAAAGTATCAGCACTGTGATCAGCTGTGTGGACCCAAAGAAAAGGTCTTTATTGTCGTGGAACTCTTACTCAAGTGCTGGCCAATGTATTGAAAAAACAACACAGTCAGTAAATATATATATAAATAAAATTGTGGGTAACACTGAGATACACAGTGTAACTAAAACTATTTGTGGCTTATGGAGTCTTAAAAAAGATAAAGAGCTTTTCCTGTTTGTGCTGACTTCTAGTCAAAAATCTGTTGCAGAAGGATGTGAATCACTTTTACTTACCCACTTCATTGTCTTCTATTAAAGCCAATTCACTCTTTTAGAAGTGGTTAAGTATGTCTTTGTTTAGAAGTAGACACAGGGAATAATGTAAAACAGAAATTTTCTACATCATAAAAAACCTATGCTGAACTTTGCTTGTTAACAATGGATGGAGTTCCAAAATGGAAAAATTCCATACAGGTATGCGTGTATGCAGATGCCATGTTAAATGCAGTCTGGGAATGTAATTTTTTTCCGCCCAAGACTGTGTACTCAGGACATGAAAAGTTACAGTTTTATGGCAACTTCCATTTGGAAGGTCTACTAAAAACTCTGTTTTCAAATTTGAAATTTGGATTTAATATCTTGAATCAAAAATTATTTCGTATTATGTCTTGAGTGTTACAAATTTAGACACACAGAGAATATGAACATAGAAACCTCTAGAATGCTGTGCTTTACTCGTATTTTAATTTAAACCAGCAATTAAGTCTTTTAATTGTAATATTAACTGAAATCAAATAGCTCCTTCAGCTATTTTATTATCTAGTGTTTATTCTATTCCATGTGTAATTTGATTTGCATACTTCTAGATTGTTCATAAATTTCTAAATTGTTGGCTATTTCTAAATTGTTCTGAATACTTTGGTATCTCTTTCAGTATTAGCTTTCAGTAAAAATGTTTCTTTAATCTCCTCCGGTAGCTAACCTAGTTCTTTATTTCTTCCTGTAGCTGGAGAATGTATTTCCCTTTCTGAGAATGTAAGTACATAACATAATCTTTTTCTGGTTCAATTTGAAATTATCCTATTGGCCTCTCACATAATTTTCATTACCAATCATTCTGAATGTATCTGATTAATCACATTATTGCAACTCATAGTCGCTTATATTTCTGAAAATATCATACATGGTTATAAAGCAAATAAAATATGAGTGTCTAATTACACTGTGTTGGATTTTATCTATTCGCAAGGCAGGTGATTCAAGATACTGTGTATATACATATATATATATGTAACACTTAGATTTCTTTCTTATAATCTTGTATAAGAAAGTTACATTTCTATTCTATAGGGTATACAGAATTCCTACACTACACAATATATATAGCCTATATTTTTATTCTGGATATAAATAAATTCTCCAGAATAGAAGTATAGAAAGGCCCATTGTTAGCTTCAATATTGATCACTTTCTCTGAATGGAAAATTTTTTTGTTTGTCCTTTTATCAGTTCTCTGAACTTTTTCTAAATCTATCTTTGTTGTAGTTGTTGCTTTTAAAGACTGCCATGGAATAGAGTACTTTGAAATTAAGGTAGCTAATGGTGAATAGGAAAAATAGTAATTGCTGTGACTATGAATTTTCTCAAAGTGGCATTTACCTTTTTGTATGATATTATCATTAATATTTGGTTTCATTAGTCAGTTAAAAGTCTCAGAATATCTTGAATAATTTTATTGCCTGCTTCTGAAAACAATATATTCAGCATAATTAGTACATTATGTATGAGCAAGTTTTATTTTAGAAATTAGCTGTAATTTGTTACTAAATATTTCTTCAAGGAATGTTTTCCCTTTTTCTCAGCTTAGTGTGTTACTGAGTAAAAGCTGGTTGAGCACTGCAGAATTCTGCCCTTTCAAATTACCTTTAGTCGAAAACATGTATTTCAAGAATATTGTTGGACAAATAATACTTTAATCTATCTGAGCTGACTTATGGAATACTCTTCTAATTAAAAAGGACCAGGACTTGGTAATATAGTAAAACCTGAGTAAAGCAGTGGATTTTAGGAAGGCCTATCTGTCAAAGTATGTGTTTTCTGTTTACAAATTAACATAAAAATTCTGCATGGTAAGGAGTCTTCAGTTTTATTGTACATTGCCTCTGAAAAATAAGCCTCTGGCCAAGCGATTAGAGAAAGTTACACTCCTTTCATGAAGTATGAATTTAGCTCCTTTAAGTGTTAATGGACATAGCTTCCTCCTCAATAGGCAACTATTTCATAATTCCAGGGATGGCTTTGCACAGCTCTAGAGGGAATTTACTCTGACCTGTTGCATTCTTTTAAAGAATTTGTGAATGCGTTTTTTTACAGGCAGAATTATAAGAATTTAATATCAGCAAAACTTTAACCTGTGGTGCCTTCAGAAGGAAGCTACAATACACTTGTGATTAGGATACAGTCATTATGCAACTTTAAATTACTGAGAAGGAAAGCTGTACATTTTTGTTCACATGCAGAGGCAGAGAAGGCCTCTGAAGGCCATTGCTGAAGTCTTTTATTGGAGAGAGATTATAACCTCCCAGTCTTCTGGTCTATTCGTATTTTACCAGGAAAAGTTACCAACAAGAATGCTAACCCTCGTAGTGATTCTGTGTTGTTCCTGTGAGCTATTGGTAAATATTACTAACAGTTATAAGGATTTAAACCATTTTCCAATTTCAGACTTAAAGCAGTACTTTATTTCACTTTTTTGAATGTGTCCTGAACATCTTTACAATGCAAATTAAGCCTTGGCAAACAATTAAAAAGATATTTGTTAACTAAAGCAGTGGACAAAATTCAAGAAAAAAATGGAAAATGTTGTCAAATGATGTATTCAAAAAATCATTTGTGACTGGCTGAATTTACACCATCAAAAGTTAGGGCAAGAATTTTTATTCCAAATAAGCTGTTATAGAAAACCAGGCATGAACAGAAAATTAGAATCATCAGGACTACAATTACTCCTGTCTTTGGGCTATTCTGTCTGTTAAATCAGTGTTCACCTAAAATCTGAGGAGAGATGAGCTTTGCATCATGCCTTGAAGACTGCCAGGTTGGAATTTCATGGACTGAGATAAGAAAACATCCTGAATCAGAGCTCTGTGACAGTGCATGACCTACCAAAAGTCATATTTGAGTCAGAAACTGTTAGGTCAAGCTGAAGACATTTACAGTGGAATATAAATGTTAGAGAGTAAGAAGCAGCCCTGCACAGCCAAGATGCAGCTTTTCTAGATCAGCACCCACATCCTAAATTCTAGACAAAAAGCTACTGTAGAGAGTTGTAGTAACAATGGTGTTCAGCACTGCCATCTATAATCTGGAAAGAAAATACAAAATCATTGGTGGTTTAAAACTAAGTATTGCAAAAAAAAAAAAAAAAATTACAGAGGTATAAGTATTGATGATGGCAAGAAAATAACCCATTTCTTAACTTCAGTCCATTTAAGTAGAACAGTTCAAAACAGACAGAGGAATGATATTAGGAGATATATGAATTGGGAATGTGGGCAGAGTTTGAGAAAGCAGTTGAGTCTGAAGAAGGACTCAGAATTCACGTTAAACAACTCAGCACTGCTGTGGTAAAGTTCTCACTGCACTACTGTGTTACGCAGTGGTGTGGAAAGATTGAAAGGGTGAGTAGAAGCATGAAGGTCACATACTATTTTACATGATATTAATGAGACCAGTTCTGGGACATTGCATCAAATTCCATGTCCAAGTTTTAAAAGGACATTAAAGCATTAGGAAAGGTACTGAACAAAGCCACTAAACCATGATGTGAGAGTTAGGGAAATTTTCTTACAGTAAGGGACTTTAAGAGCTCAATCTGCTTAGTTTTTCAAAAAGAAGATTGAAAAATAACATGATTGAAGTATATAAATACCTCAAAGGGGCAGAAAATGCTGGACATTTATCTAAAGAAGAAAGGCAGAAGAAAAATCAATGAGAGACAGACAAATTCAAATGGGGATTTAGGCACACAGTTTAATAATAAAGGTAGTTTAACAGAAGATCAAGCTGTACCAGCCAAGACAGTACAGCTTTCTGGAAGAAGCAGTTTAGCAAAATGTAAGGCATTGTGTTACATATATGGCTAGCTTGGTGAAAAGGAATGACCTATGATATATAGAAAAGCAGGCTAAATTCAGAGTAGATATTACAAATCTCATTCAAAAATCTTCAGATTGCCAAAAG